AAGTTGCGTGAAATTACCATTTTGCTGTTTTCTAAGTGAAATTAACATCCTTGCCGTCAAGCGTTAACGTGAAATCAACATATAAACCTTTTTTGACCTAAAATCAACATTTTTGAGATTATACGTTGCGTGAAATTGACATTTTGCTGCTTTCTAAGTGAAATCAAAGTCCTTGCAGCCGCAGCAGGCCGATCCTTAGTTATGATAAACTGAGGCAAGACTTCGACTTATAACAAAGGCTTGGCTTGGCTATTATAACAAAGGATCGGCTCTGTTTATCATAAGAAAGGCTCAGCTTCGTTTATTTGAAGGCCTTGGCGGGAAAAGGGGGTTAGATATTTTAATCAAAAGTGAACTTTGTTGAAAATGCTCCAAAATTTGCATGCAGTTTTGTTTAGGTATGTTTAGCAATGTCCTGTAGTTTTTCCACTAAGCTTCGCTTCATTTTCGAGATATTGCATATGAAAAAAAACCACTTGGTTTTCCTAGCGGTGTCTTCATAAACAAAGCAAAAACCAGCGGGAAAAATACAGGACCACGTTTTCCTATTACATTGAAGACCACATGCAAAAATTCAAGCCCTTTTGCGAAATTTTTTTTTCACCCAAATCATGGCATGGTTTTGCACTCAACCCTTCAATTATATGAACAAAAAGTTATGAATCACGCACAATAATACATGAAGCACTTACTAAATTTAAGGCCTAATATACAGTCGAACCCCTATTGAACGGCCACCTATTAAACGGCCACCCCTATTAGGCAACCAGTAACCAAAGTCCCAATGAGGGCTTTTCTATTGTTTTTACCTCTGTTAAATGGCCAGCCCCCATTAAGCAGCCAATATCCATTTCTCCAAGGGTGGCCGTTTAATAGCGGTTGAACTGTAGTAACAATAACTTAGAGTGCTAGTTGTTGTTGTTGTTGTTGTTGTTTTGGTTTACTTACTTGTGACTAGCTGGACGAATTCTTTCTCTTGGGACAATCTCATTAAAAGTAGCATCCCATCCAGCATATTGAATAACATAGTACTAAAAGAAACAGAATTTACAGTTCAGGAAATTGTTCAGTTGTTATATAACTAATACATTCCATATTTTCCCAATGAAACACTGGGTGTCCCAGGTAGATTTGTAAATTAGACCCTCAAGGATTTCATCTTTGAGGTATGATAAACTTAGGTATAATTATCAGATATTTAGCTTTCACAAAAATGAATAATAATTCTAATTAACTCCAGCCTAAAAAAAAAAACAACAAAAGTAAAAAAATAAATGCTGGAACAAAGAGGCCAAATTTGAAATAAATGACTGGGGCACTTAAGGTGAATGCTCAGTATCCCTAATGCCCATGATTTTCGTATCATTAGCGCGTGCACACGAGCGCATATGCATAGAAAACGTTAGAGATTTCCCTCAAGCTAAGCTCAACAGCAAAATAAAATAATGCTCGTTTCCTCTTAAACAAGCACGGTGACAACCACTTTTTAATGTATGAATTTAAATTACACAAGGATATCTACAATGTATCTTGATTTGAAGAAAAGTTTAAAATTCTACTTAAAAATATTTTGATTTTAATGCTGTAAAGAATATGCCATTAGGTAGTGCTGGCTATGTGCAGCATGCAGAAAATTCTTAACTTTGTAGTATTATCATAACTCCTGTATAACTAACATGGTTTAAAATGTGAGTTCAGGGTCTATTTTGTTTAACTTCTCTAATAAATTAATTCAATGAGTGCTTTTCTTAGAATTTCTACTGTCCCTTTCTGCTGACTTAGGTTAAGTAATTAACGACAACCTCATCGGTTGCAAAGTTGCTATAAAGGCCATCCATGTTGTGCAAAAATGAGCATGGTAACCCCTATTGTTAATTGCATTTTTCTGATAAACATAAACATGATTACCAACTGGATGAAGTTTGAGAAATTTTTTATTATAACTCCTTTTTAAGTGGAATCACCTTTATCAAGAAAATACAGTACATTGTACAAGTAGTGTACGTAGTACAGTATAATACAGCAAAATACAGAAAATACAGTATGTTGAAGTGTAATTATACCAGCATTTTGGAAACAGGTGTGAAAAACAAGGATAAAAGGCTTTTTCTAGAGTCATTATGTTCATTCCTGGACAAGAACTCTGTTAATGAAAGGGCACTCTTCCCAAGGGTTTATGCATCACTGGTTTCCTCCCCAAGGGGCAACAAACAATGATGTCTTGGCTACATATTTGCATTCCGTGACTCTTACAGAGTACATTTCTCTGAAGAAGACTGCAGAAGGCGCTCAAAAATTCAGTTTTAACGTGTTTTAGATCTGTTTCAAACTCCCTTTTTAGAACTTTAATCATGGGGGTAGATTGCTCCAACAATTTTATTGTAGTGTACGGTGGTCTTCAATTGATTATCACAAAACCAAAAACAAATTTTAATCACTATGACTAATTACAAAAGACACAAATAATCCATTAAACCAATCAAAACACCAAGCAAATACATGAAGCTCACTCAAAGTGCAGGAAAACATGTGCAAGCAAGTTACAATTGGTTTTGGTTTTACTTCTGATCAAATGACATTTGGAGTAGCAGAGTCCTTTTTTAAGCTAATCAGAAGGCATAGCAAAGCAAAGCCAAAGCAATTACTTTAGACACTCAAGTGGAAACTGCTCCAAAATGTATTTTAGGTCAAAATGATTTCAAATTAGTTTGATTTTCAACTCTATAAAAGGAATCCTAATTTAACAATAATATGAAAATTTAAGAGAGCGGTTTTCAATCGAGCGTCAAAAAGTAATTTTAGTTTTATATCTCTACGCTACATGATTGGCTTAAAAAACTAGCGCCGCTTTTTCATCCAATCAGAAGTAAATCCAAAACCAAAACCAATCATGACTCATTTGAACATGCCTTCCTGTGCTTTGCGTCAGCCACATTTAATTACTTTGAGTTTGGATTGGTTCACTGTATTGTCTGTGCCCTTTGAAATTGGCTAGAGTGTTGACTTTGATTTTGGTTTTATGACACTCAATTGAAAACTGCTCTAATATAACAATTTAATAACAATATAATAATATAATTATATCATGACTATTTTTTTAAATTTATTTATTGTATGGCCGACTAAATTGTAATTTAGGTGAGGGCCATAGATTTGTCAGTACACGACGTTAATGTGTTTTCCCTCAAAATAAGGTTATTACAATGTGTAGTTCCAGAAAATATCCATACCCCCACCACGGAGGGAATTTCATGAAAGCCCCCAACCCCCTCCTCCCCCGAAATTTCCATTTTTAAACACAAAAGTAACCCCCCACCCCACCCCTCCAGAATTTCCACAAGTATTATGTACACCCCCCATACCCTCTGGAAAAAATAGTTTTGGCAAGAAAGTGTGTTAAAGTTGAAGTAAATACTCCAAGCACTTAGCTGTCTTTGTTAGGGGATTAGACACCAGTCTAGAGTTTTATGGGATGTAGAGAGGGAGCACACGAGATGGAGATTAAACGTTGAGTTAGCTTATGTGTCGTCATCTCTTTCACGCAATAACAGTCTGCATTGCACATCCCTGCTGTTTATTCTCAATCGATCGTAACATCTGAAGATACACACAAAGAAAACTTGCAGAAATTTATTGCTTTAACAGAAAATAGATAAAAAAGGTAACTTGTCAAATTACCTTCCTATATGACTGAGTCCCTTTGTAACTGTGGTACAATTTCCATTGAAGGACTGATAAGATGAGTGTGGATGAAATGGACACCATACTTTTGTCGTGAACATGATCGCTAACACACCCACGACAAAACCCAATTTTACAGCAAAATTTATGTACAAACAGACAGAGATAAACAAGAATAAGAGATTTTTAAGTTTGTGAAATGGTAGCATTCTTTTTACCTTTATAAAGAAACTAATTTTTATGATAGAAATTTGCTGCCACTCTACAGCTTTGAAGTCCGATGCGAAAACAAACCAGGCTAGTCACCAATGCTTTAGGGTCCACAAGGTGACCTCATTTAGACTGGTAACAAGTAACAGCAGCCATTTCCACGCAACGGCACGTTCTTTGCATTTGTTAGCTTCCAAAGTGCTTTTTGAAGAAGGAAAATATATTTCAAATATAATGCAATTCAAATACAAGTACTCAAGCTACTATTTTTTCATGTGAAAGATCAGGCTAGATCTACTTCGCAGGTAAGAAAGGATTTTTAAACAGGTAGATCAATACTTGAATCTGTATCGAATCGCAGAGCATCTGGAAACTAAATCGACCATCCAACCCCCGTACCCCCACCATGGAGGGAATTGGAAATTCCGGAGGGGTGGGGGTATGGATATTTTCTGGAACCACACAATTGTTATTATTATTAGTAGTAATAATAGAAACTTTAATTTGTTATTTAAAGTGGGATATGGTTCTCTGTGACCTTGCAGGTGTATTCTGACCCCAAACAGAATAAAAGAATAACCAAACACTGATAAATAAATTTGAAAGGCTAAAATTTTAGTTCAAAGCTACAACCTCAGACACAGGGCGAAGCCTTCCACCAGGACAAAGGAATATGGTAAACCTCTGCCCAAAGTTTAATTTGGGGATGGGGGGGGGGGGGGGGGGGGGGTGGCAATGTGTCATTATCCTTGCTTGATTACATGAACATGTCCCAGGACTTATATTAATTTATAGCCTTGCCAAAATTGTGTTGATTACGTCTAAAAATTCAACACAAAATGTTTTCAAATACCTCTCCCTTTTTGTGTACAATTCTTGCCAGCCACCATCCACACGGTTCGCCATCACTGTCTCTTGTGAACACCTTCAGTTGATGAACATACACAACAAATTAACTTTGTGGATGCTGACAAGGGCTAATGAAAAGGCAACAACAGAGTCCATTGTTGTCGTAGGTGTCAGAATATCATATGATTCATCAGTACCACAATTGTATCATGGTGTGACAAGAAGTGTTTCTACTCCCCCGTAATGGGATGCTAGTCCAGTACATTTTTAAGGTTACCTTATTCCAGACCTCAATTTTATTATTAACTACACAATAAAGTTAGTTCAGGGGGGCAGCAACTAAGATCAACCAATCAGATCGATCCAAAGTCAGTGTCTCCAAAGCATTGGACCAGGCACTGTCCCGAATGATCCCACACGTTCGCTCTTAAAGATTTGCAAGGGAAAAGTTCCGGCATAGGTGTTTCACTTAGCAAAACACACCCTGGGACTGGAACTAGGAAATGTTTGAAACACCTTCTGGACATCCTCTAAGATCTCAAAACAGCTTTGTATATGATCAGGTCATCTTCAAATATCCTACATGTGGTACTACCACAATAAACTTTCACACCCTTGACTCAAAGAAAGTTGAAAGGTATATAATCTTGAGTAGATTATTAACTCCCACTACAACAAAGTGGTACCAATCATGCTCAAGAATGAATACAGATCACTGCTATCACCCTCCACCTCACACAAGGCAAGTATATGTATCTCTACTCCCCCCTGGATGGGATGCGAAATCAACTCCAAACTAGTAGAGATACTCTTCCCCAAATTGAATTTTTCTTGTACAACATACTGGCATTAGAGGAATAAACAAAGAATTCTCGTTCTGACCCCAACTCATCCCCCTTAGAGCTTTGAAGTTAATCCTGAAATGTAGATCACATTGAAGCAGGGTCCCAAGAGGGGGGACATGTCTAATGTGGCCAGCCTGTCCAAGAGTTGCACGTGGTTGCAGTCTAACCCAGGTTATTACTCAGCAATTTCTCAAGTTCCAGCACACCAATACTTATTTATACTACTGGGTGACCAGGCCAAGGGGTGTGTTAATGGTCACCTTTACTAGAACGGGTAATTGTTTTAAATTGCATCAGTATTGTTATTAACAACAGAATTGTAGCCAACCCGTGTTTGACAGTCATTGTACTCATCACAACTGCAGTCAAGCTAATTTCAGTATCATGAAAGTAACATACTCCAAAGATGGCTTGATTGTTAGTGGAGTATAGTACCAATCTAGCCCACAACCCCCTGTAGATAACAACTCCACTAAAAATGCCTTTGCAACAAAAACTAAGCCAAGCGTTGCTTCATAAAGTCGTATAATTTTTGTTTTTAGTCAAACCAAAAGCAAATACATTATCCTCCAGGGGCTGTCTTTATACAGGCCTGGACATCCTATGGGGAATTCATACCTTCCCGTACATGCAGCGATGTTTTAAAATAGTGTAGGAGATATTTAACTTCACTTCCCAATGGTGCTAGCCATTTACTAACATGACAAAAAGATCGACATTCACACAAATAGATTCCCACAGCTGAAAATTCCCCATCTGATCACACGAACCGCAAATCCAATTAACAGTTTGACCCGATATTAAAGTTCGCACGTGGACATCTCGTAGTAAACAGCACCAGAAAGGTGCCAACCTTTACGCAACTTGTTATTGCACAATCCCGCAAAGTTATTGACGAAAACTAGCGAGAAAAATGGCAAAAATATCCCATGTAGGTCATAAGATAATTAAAGATGCTAGCAACCAACGCCACTGATACAGACATTATCTGATTGAAAACAATCAAAGCCTTTCACAGCCGAGTGACCTTTTTCGCCATTCGATCACATGGCCTGGCTCTGCTCGGTAACCAAACAGGTTTTCCCAAATAGCCTCACCTCTACTTCATCGTCCACATATAAATCACATCTTTGGTTCGTAGATGGAGGCAGACGAACTTCTTCATAAGCAACCCTCCTGCAGTTATTCAATCTGTGAGGAACCAATACGTAAAGCATTTGTAAGCGAGCATTGCAACAAGGTAAACAATGTATACAGATGAAAAATCTCGCGCCACAACCAAAATTCTTGCTTACGTACTCGTGTTGAAGAGCGATCGTGACTTGGTCTTGATGAATGTTCCTCACATAACCCTGGGAAATAATTGTTCAATAAGTACCTAAGCATTTCCTGAATTATCTATAAATTTCGTGGTCTTCACCTTGTAATAAGCCCCATTTTTGCCGCAAACTTCTACGGACAAATCCTCCATGTTTTCTTGCTCAACTTGCACTGCTGTCCCAGAGGCAGTCTGGGATATCAACAAATTGCGCAATCTGGGCGCGAAACCACTCGACGCCATGTTTGGGTGAAAAACGTCGGTGTAAGTCAGATCAACTCAAAATATGAATATTTTCCTGCATTATTTTAACATCTGCAAAACAGTTATAATCTAATACGCGAATTTCAAAATAATTTTGGCTTTGATTTGCGTTTGTCACTGTTGATCAAGGGTGGTTACGATGTTAGTTCTCGAGGAATTTGAAACAAAAACAGTGTGAAATTGTTAGTCTTGACTTGTCGCGACTCCGTCACTTAGTGTCACATATCAAATTCAAAGAAAAGACACTCGTGCGTTCGCCTTTCCACAAATATCACGTAAAATCGCCTGGATAGAAATTCTCAATAAATCCCTTCTAAATGTCACAAAAATGTTCTAACTTTCTCGAAAAACCCTCTGAATATCAGTCTTATTTTTGTCATAAAAATACAAGATCTTTTTAAAAAATCACATGGGCCAAAATTTTCAAAATTTTCTTGCAGTAGCGGAACATGTCGAGGAAGAAGGTTCAAGCACTTTGATGGTACCAACGTCCGTCATTTTGGAAATTCAATTGCTGTTTTAGCTGAGCGCTGTTAGTGATATGGAATGCATTTTCGTGTGGAAAATCGCTGAACTTGATTGTTTTTAGAGTGTTGTTTCAGTAAAATAACAAAGAAAACGCAGGACTAAGGCAAAAAAACTATGAAAGCTTATGAATATTTCTAAATATCCCTAAGTTTTCTAAATATCTTAATATTTTCTAGATACTCCGAAACTTCTAAATATCCCAGAAAATATCCCGATATTGGTGGAAAGGCCCACCCTTGCGGCTACAGAACCACACGGTCGAACCTCCACTATACCAGCCACCTCTCCACAACGGCCACCTTTTCCCGTCCCACCCGGACGGTCCATACCTTCACTCTTACTGTAACTTCTCTACGTCGGTCACCTCTCTACAACGGCAACCAAAGGGCACCCCGACTGCCAAAATAACCTCTCGACAACGGCCAGTTAAGAATGGTGTTTACAAAACCCAATGTTATATTGTAAAAGGTCACCAACTTCATCCTTACCACACGTCGTAGGTCTCTGTTGCTGTTTGGTTTCTGTTTTATTGATATATTTTGATTTTGTTAGGTCCTAAAGTACGCATTTTTTTAAATATAGAAATTTTGTATCCTCCAAAAAACAGGTGCCATATTACATAGGGGCGTAGCTTGGGGGGTGCGGGGGGGGGGAGNGGGGGGGGGGGGGGGGGGGGAGGACATGACAATCTGGTGAGTACCCTCACTTTGACACAATGTGACCCCCTTTGAAAAATCTTGACTTCGCCCCAATTACAGCCCTTCCTCTCTTTAACGGCCCTTTCTCTACAACGGCCATTTTCCTCTGTCCCCAAGCTGGCCCATTGTGGAGTACTCTGGTAGTATGCGAGACAAATACAGTACGTAGAACAAGTTGATAAATTGCAATTGCATGTTGTGTCTCATTTTTTTTTTTTTAAATCTTTCACCATGATTGCTGTTGATTATGTCACATGGGTGCAAGATCCCTGGGGTGCCCGTCGGAAAATTTGAATTACCCCTCAGGGAGACCCATCTGGGGGTGACTCGAGCTTTATTGACCCTTAAAATATACCAGTTTAAAACAGACAGACAACGTTTTTTTTAATTATTCCTTCGAGTGCACCCTAAAAGATGCCTGAAAAGCCCGGTTTAGAAGTAAGACTAAACATCATGATTTGCACCACTAAATGAGACGACGAGCACACCCAACCTCTTCTACATGAAAGTCTACCCCCCCCCTCCTCGAGGGGGGTGCAAGATGACGGAGACGCGTAGTTATTTTATTTTATTTTATTTTTTCCTATTGTTATTTTTATTATATATATTTTTTGAGGGGCTGGGGGGTGGGAGGTGAAATTCGTCGCGAGGTTTACTCTGGTCTCGCAACGCCTAACTGCCTCTGGGCTCGATGGGTGTGGTAGAAAAAACAGACTTAGTTAAAACAAACCAAAAAGGGAAAGAGATGGCTGATTAGACTGGAAAAGATTGGGACGAATTACGAAGGACTGACATGAAAATTTTAAGCCATTTGTTTTTCAAAGCATCATCTGTCGCGTAGCTGAGGTAACTATAGTTGACGAGGTTGAAAGAACTCAGTATTCGATATTCTCCCAACTAGTGCTGATCGCCACGAAGGTAACTAGTAGAGAGAATTTGAATTTTGATGTTAGAGTTTTCCGGGTCGACGGAAAGATCTTTGCATTTTCAATTTGGAGGAGTACATGAAACTTCTAGCAAAAATTCAAAGTATGAAAAATAATAATGGAGTAAACCACGCCCTGAAAATAACATTGACAATGCAACAGGTTTGAAATATATGGGGAAGATATCTGTTATGGTAATCATTGTTTTCGTTATTAAATATTAATGTGCGGTCGAGCAAGAGAACTCGTTTTTTTTTTCCTGCCAACAGCTAGCTCTCTAATTAGCAAATTAATAACAGCGCCTGATATTACTAATATCTTCGCTTTAACGGCCTTAAAGAAAATTGTCTTCTGTTGTCACTTTTGTCACGAAAACGCACGCTTATTAACAGTTAAACGGTAAAAAAAAATAATAATAAACCAGCAGGCGAAAATAACAGCTGATGTATAACTATTCAATTAAAAGTTTACCTGTTTGTTTTGGCGTCATGGTTCCCAATGGAACTAATGTTGCGTATAGCATTTCCAAAACAGGAAAATTGAGCTAACAGCTGCCACGCTGTGGATGTTAACGCTAAACGAGCACGCGAACATCGAAGCTTGTTTATTTTCGTTACGACAGTGAAAACAGCCGTGAACTTTGCGTCCAAAACGTTAGTTAGTTAGGGATCTTTTGTGAGTTTATATTGATACGCTACAGTCATACAACAAACTTCCAAACCGCTTCTTTGCGTAGCGTGCGGTCTCTAAGTTTCATAACTAGCTATATATTGATACGTTTATATTAAAAAGGTTTGTCATACCAAATTGAGGCAAACCGTTGCGTGAAATGATTGTTCACTTTAACGGTAAAAACACGCAAAAATGACATGATAATGGAGTTAGTGCCATGTAAAACACCAGCAAAACTCCTGTGCACCTGCGAAGGGTACTTTCGTTTTTTTTTTCAAATTTTTTTTCAATTTTTTTTTTTTTTAGATTTGACTGAGACATAAAGAAGACTACTTTCATACTTTCTTGGCTCTGATCATTATTAGCAACACAGAATTAGACGATGCTAGGCTTAAAAATAATTAGTGCAAATTAAGGGTCGACTTTTGACCCATGGGAAGGATGTGTTAAGAGAGATTAAATTGTATATTCAATCTTTCGATTATTCTTTGAATGTGGAGCGAGCCAGCGAACGTATCTTTGTGACAAGACTTCACCGTATTCGTTACGAGTAAATGGCATTTATACTTAACCACTCTCGTCTCCAGAGCCTTCTACTTCTATCTGTAGCGACATTTTCAAGGGAGTAGCTCTGGGGACGAGAATAAATCATTGATTGAATCTTACTCACTCTCATTCCCAGAGCATCCGTTTCTTTGGTCACGTGGTCGTCAACGAAATTTTAAGACGAGTAGTACTGGGGACGAGAATGAATCTTACTCAGTTCCCTTAGGCGGTGACTATGGACATGCGCAGATATATCCAACTCACACATGAAAGACCTGAGTAGAAGTCCGTTTGGACCATTCCTAATTTGCCCAGTGTGTCAGTTAAAGTTGTATTGAACTTCTCAAATGATTCAGCAAGGCGTTAAATTTTAGTTTGTAGGAGTGAGTGGGCGCGAGATTAAAGTTGTCGACCCGCGGGCGCGAAACTCCAGTAGTTAACAAGTATATCAATTATACAAGTGTCAGAGCGTCGAAGGTTTTCTGTTGTCAGTATTGAGTTTACATCATTTTATTTTAATTATTTTCCGACTTTGATAAAAAAAAATTGCTTTCATGTGGCAATTTTTGAGGTTGATGGAACAATATCCTAAAAGCTTTAAACGTACCGGTAACGGACATTTCACAGAAATATTAATTACCTGGTAAAGAAATAATTATAGATCGATTTGTTCTTACCCAAGTATAAATTTTAAAAGCGTTTATGAAAACTGATCACTCTCTAGTGTCAGCTTCACAAACAATCATTCCTCAATTGTCAAGAAGCAGTTCCTGTTTTTTTTGGGTTTTTTTTTCCTAACTCTTAATATCACAGTCGGAGTAGAATATAAATTCGCTCTCATGTTGGGAGACTAGTATATGTCATGGAAAGGGTAAATGGAATTTTCGAGTGGGTCTGAGTGAAATGCACTTCCTATGAACGTACTTAGACAGCTTGAATTGTGAACCACAAATATTTCCTTCAAAATTGGCTGTAATCAAAGAACACAATACATGCAGCACTTTAACTATGGTGCCACTGTTCACATGTGTGGTTCATTTCATATGTTCATCGATCACTGAATGTCGAAAAAACATTTCTAGTGGTAGTTACCACAAACAAAACGGTGTTAATCTTTATTTTAAAGTTCTACCAAGGGTACACTCATGAAATGGTTTAATCCTGTTTATATTTCTTGTTAAGCTTATTCCCTAAAACGTTTTTCTAAAAGAAACTTTCGAGGATACAGTAGTTCCAAGATATTGAAATAACAATGAAATGCAAATCGGTCCAACTTGAGCCGAATTGAACGTTTCACGCAGATTTTCTTCACAGCGGAAAGTTCTATGTCGGAAATGTTTGCTGCCTATTAGCATCTTGATGTCTTAACGCAATTTTATTCTTTTTTCACAGTCTTGCCGCCGAACCAACCACATTGTACCACGCAGCCCGCCGCATATCCATTTGAACCACCGATAATTTTAACAGCACAGCTAATAATGTTGGCTTGACAGAAGCCAAGTGCACCTGTGCTCAAGGTCAATTTACTAACAACGGAGTTGGCCAGCTACTCGCGACATAATTCTTGTTTTCTGCACTTTGTGACATAAACAAGACATTTCGAAGCCTTTTACAAGCTTCTTTTCTCCCCTTCCCATGCACTTCTGCCGTACTTAATACTCCCGTTCAACGGAGAGAAAATACCAAACCGTCGACCCTGCTAATTTCCTCGCGACGGCGAACTAAGAACTTCCTGTTTTCCTTTTTATAGTCTAAGTAATTTGAAAAGGACGCACTCGTTTTGTGTGTTGCATTTAACTATGCATCGGGTTGTTAACAAGTCTAAATAAAAAACACAGTTCTCGTTCAAGTGCACAAGTGCACAACGGCAGTCTTTTAGTGTGTTAAATTGTGGGTTACTGGCAACGTTAATATTATTTTTTGTCTGAACAATGGCCACACCACTTGAAAAACACGCAGCGAGAAGCGCCGTGAATCAATGGTTTTAATTATTTATAAATGGTATTTAAATTTCCCAGACAGAGAGATAAACAGCTGATAAAATAGTAAAAATCGTTTAGATTAGCATGGGATGAGTCATTTTTCAGATAAAAGCACATTTGAACTTGCTTTGTCTTCGTCCATTGACTTTCGCCTTGTCTTATTTTCTCACTCCTCAAAGTGGCAAGGCAAACTTTTTGAACTTTTATTGGTAGATAAATTTGGGTTCATGACGTCTGTCTCCGTGTACTTTGCCAATACGAACTAATGATCGTCTATTTTGTCGTAATATGTGGGTATTTTGTTAAATGTAGAATTCGCGAAGCCATCAAACGTTATTTATAGTGCGCAATTACCTTCCTACGGTGAATACATTTCGACTTCCGCTTGGCTAAGCGACTTTTTATTTCGTGATAAGCGATTTTTGATTTATCCATAGAAACATTCTAGATCAAAAAAACGCACGCGCCACATACATTTAGGTAAGTTATACTCACAAGACAACATTAAAACTGTCGCGCCGTAATTTTGCCAAGGTGTAAAACATAACAAAGGACGTCAGCATAGTGAGTCGCTTTTGTTTGCAGAAGTGCAAGCTTCAACAAAAAAGTAATAAACAGTAAACATGTCTTAATTTGACTTTCAATTCCTGTTTAAAACAATAGGTGACCATTAACACCGCGGCTGTGTATAACCAATGCGAGCAGCTTGACGTATAACTGATTTTTTTATTATTAAAGGCAAGAGCAACGTATTGCTAGCTCATTCATTGAAGAGCTACAGCGCGCGCGATACGCAACTTTACAACCATGTTTAATTCACTCCAACTTGCCATTTGCATCGGGATAATTCTCAGACCAGTGTCTTTCGCAAGAAAGATTTCACTCGAGGTGAGTCCTAAAAAGTGTTTTGTTCTAATGTTTTTTCATGTAGAGCCTCGTGGTAAGATTTCTCTCGAATCTTCTACTAAGAATTATTCATATCATTGTGTTACTGTCTTTTATTTTTATAATATTACTTTCATTTGTAGATGGTTGCGAAAAAGAAAAGTTTTGTGGAGCCAATTCAAGTCATTTAAAAGCAAATGCAGTCCTTCGATTGGCAATAGACAGAATTATGATTTAGAATTTTTACCTCATAAAACAACCATGAAATTTGCATTTTATTTTTTCTTTTAAATACTCTGTTTGATAACCTGTTGCACGATATTAATTCAGAAGTAATATTATCCAGCTTTTTATATATTTTTACTGTCACTTTTTATCCTTGTAATGCGCAACTAAAGGAAGATAAATTTTACAGATAAATCTTCTTCAGGCAATAATGTTTTTATAGTCTTCAGTACCAAAGTAAACTGTGGTTTGAACTTGGTTGGGTAAAGTTCGTTCTAAGATAAGAATGACTGTGATCAAACAAGGGGCTATTGTAAACACATGTCACCAATAGCATGTCGTGACTACATTATTCTATAGCTCTTTCAGCGGCGTCACGAGGACAAAATTTTCGTATAACCTTGTCACGTTCAAAAGATGTTGTTAAGAAATGCTATGCTACGAGAATTAGCATTCGAAATTCATGTTATGGCGCCATTCTGTCGTCCATGGGCTAATGTCGCTTAGCAACACGAGACTTGTGTCAAAAACTGCTAATTGCTTTCGTCCCAACACCATTCTCGTCCCCAGAGCGTTCAACGACATTTTTTTAAACGAGTAGCACTGGTAGACTGATAGACAAGAATGTCCCAACACAAGATATCCTCGCCCCAGGACCTTCTGAGGTGTTCGTTCAAATTGAAATGGCTACCAAATCCAAGATGGCTGCCTAGCGAATTCAAGATGGCCTCCCAATGCTAAATCCAAGACGGTGGCCAAATACAAGATGATGGCTAGTCGAAACATACAGACTGTATGAATGGCCGCCATCTTGGATTTACACCCGAATATCTTTCAACTAGGTCATTAGTATTTTTCCTCTGAGCTCTTAAACTCAACGAGTAGCTTTCAGGAAAGATCTCAAAATGACTGAGGAACTATGGGAAAAAAATTGAACATACCGAAGTCTGAGATAAATCTTTTTCCTCACTTGCACATTTCGCTTTGTAGGACGAAACTGCCGTCATCCGGGAATTCAACGAATTTACTCCAAGAAAGATACCCAGGTACAACCTTTTCCAGCAATCCAGGAGAGGTAAGAATCTAGTTTCTTTTCTGTGTGTGGTCACCATGGAAATCTACACTGCACACTTACACAAAGGTCAAACTCACTGTGGGTCAGCAGTTGCCGCCAAAAACTCCACTTACAAACATCTAAATTTCCAAGAGTCCTCCACTCAAAGACCAAAAGTTAAGACAAACATCCACACGCTACATATTTAATCCACGTAGATTTAATGGCTTGTTATTTGTTTCTCCACAGCCTTTTCTCGCTTAAAACCTTCACAAACTTCGAGCTAGTAAAAACCGGAAGCCCGGCGATGGCGTTTTTCGTTTAGCCGCTTTGAATATGAGACCAAATTTCGTCAAAGTACAGACTACATGGTCAGCGGTATAATGCTGCTGCACAGAGTCTTTTCTGGAAAATATCGCTGACAGAGTAGCCGTGCTTCATCTTTTTTTCTTCCATTTTTAATCAAATTGTGTAATTAATGAGAACTTCCTTTTTCAGATGGAGGACAGCTTCCAGAAGTCGCTTGCCTGCCTCATCCTGAAGTTGTCCAAGTTGAACCCAATGTCAAAGACCAAAGAAACACACCACAGTTTGTCACGGTTAACCGCTGCAAAGGGGCGTGTGACCTACCTCTCAACACGGAGACCTGCACACCGATTAAGAAGCGAGATATTTCTGTCGAAGTGTCATTCGCTGATGGCACAAGCCAACCCCGGTACGTTGAAGATCATTTGGAATGCGCGTGCAAATGTCAAAAGGGGTTGGATTGCAAAGCACACCATGAATTTGACGAACAGAACTGTCGATGTGTTTGCAAAAAGATGTGCGGAGGGAATGAAAATCAGGATCCCGTGACATGTCGTTGTACTGCACGAGAAGGAAAACGAAGATACGAGATAATAGAGTACTAGTAGTAATAAACTGATATTTTATAGCTTAAAAGCATGCTGGTTTATAATTAGGAAAAAAAATTGCTGAACACTTTAGTCCAGGATGCAAACTACGTTATAAGCTGATTAAGAGATGGAAATTATGTTCCCGCATTTTTATAATCAAGAATGAAATAAAAAGTCGATATAATTGTAACAGTAAGTAATAAAAGAACAATAAATGACTGACTTTATATATTGCTCCTAATTCTGCATTATTTTATATACGGCCTGCTAATTATTTAACATGCATGGTAAATAAAAAGTTGGAAGTCATCGCGTAAATGGGTGAAATTTCATGAATTACTTGACTTCTCTTGTGATCAAACCTAACAGACAAAGATTGCGATCATCTACTCCGCGAATCGAATTTTAGATGTAACATCTCGGCGTTATCCGATAGCTATATCGAAAATTGTTCTGACAATGTTAAAACGTTTTTGCGAAAATGTTCTAAGATTCGCGGCGTGTAATGGCTAATGCTCCTGTGCTGAATTAACGATAAAAAGATCACAACTGCATTTCCTAGAGGGACAAAATCACAATCGCAAAGCCAGCTCAATGTTGGATTTTAAATGTCTGCTACATGGCCTTGAGGCATTCACTCTCGTTAAAACGCGAGCGTCTAACGTCTAATTTGTGTTTTCAGGTTGTTTTTGTGAATGGTGAAAAATTTTGCCAAACATGTATATGAAGGAAACAGAACTCTAGTTGACGGAAAAATTGCTTCTTCTTGCATATTGTTTTCAAAAGGCGATTCGCCAAAACAAATTCGTCGTATGCTGAAGATTAAATGGTATCCGCGTCGAATTGTCACCATGCGCGCATTGCATCTACAAAACAAAGGGAAATAGTAATGGTTTGCATCTTGTTGTCCTTGCAACGCATCTTTCTGGTCTTTTTTCTCAGATTTTTTGCTAAACTCGAAGAAATTTCTCTCGAACTCAACTTGTATATTTGCAGTACAGTAAAGTCGAGTGTTCCTTAATATACGTCACAGTTACTTGTTAAGCCGAGAAGAACTAAGCCAAAATAGCGGCAAGTTTGAACGTTTTCGAATTGTACTTTAACATTGCTTTTTGCTGAAATCAAAATTTTTTTTGCGCATAAGACTTTTAGATTCAACAAAAACGTAAAAACAAAAATCCGAAGACAGGCTGGTTAAAAATCAGCTTCCCTTGTGGACGCCGCTGAATAATTTATTATTTATTGGTCTAACCCAGCAAGAAACTTTCTAATTTAAATTAATCAATATTTAACAATGTTTTCTGAGTTTTCCAAGACATTCAACTGAGAGAATACAAATTCACTATGGGTTAGTGCCTTTGAGTTTTTCTTTAACAGCAACAGGACTATACAAGCTTCTCATCTGACATGATCTGTTGAAATTTTCCGCTTGTCGTGTTAAAGCGAACGTAACCCTTTTCCACCTCTTCTGGCAGGTGACTATTCACCTGTTTCCAGTATTACTGGATAAAATTTCCTATGTTTATTGTCAGAATTTCAACTAATGATCTCCCAGCGTGTCTAACTAATTATAATACATGACCTTCAGTTTTGTTGAAGGCGAATTTTAATAAGCATAACAGACGCCATGTAGTAACTCTTTGCAAATAAGGGTAGTGACTCAAATTAAAATGTAAACCAAATTCTATGTTGAAGATCAGTGAACCATCCCAGAAGCGTGTGCTTTATCCAGCTCCATTTTCTGTAGCATGAAAAGACAAGGAGATGTTTTTAGTAAGGGGTAGAACCTGCAAGTAGGCTCTCCTTTGAGTCACACACGCTAGCGAAGAGCGAGTCGGCCAACGGAGCGATCCAGCGGGGAGGAGTCTGGTTCCAAAGCACCAAAAAACTCAGTTCTCGCAGAATAGGAGTATTTCCCCAGCAACGTTAGATTCGCTGTTACCCGTTTATACAGCTGGATGAGGAGAGACAAAGCAAGAACAGAAATGCAACATTGTGAATTTATTTGTGTGATAGAATCTCTTCGGGTTGAACGTGGCCACTACTGGCTTGGCGGGGTGGCTATTACAATCAATACAAGCAGCCGAACTTTTTTATAATTTACTTGACCTTTTTACGTTTTGCCGCTGGGTAAAAGCTTGTTTATTAATACCTCTTCATTAAAAGGAAAACAGACGCCGATTAAAATCATTCAGCCAAGTAAGACAGCCAAGCGGGAGCTTTGTTTAAAACTTCATTCCAAATCGCATGTTGAATCGTAATAACTTTTAGAACAGAGTCTTTCGCAGAAGAGCTCTTGCTAGGGGGGATTGAAATGGATTTTTTGTCAGGGGGATTCCTTTTCTTAATACAAAGCCTCGCGCGTAGTACGGTTCCCTCCAAACCTTTAACCATACTGTTTCTTGTTTTATTGTTATTTTCTGGGTCGTTACAAGAAAATATTGAAAAAAAAAAATTCAAGTTAAAGGCGTTAGAGATCTTCGCAGTTGCGTAGGGACCTTTTAAACAGTTCAGAAACTAAACCCTGAATTTTTCAGGCTTTGAAATTAATTTCACAACTGCTTTTAAGTTGCTTACTCAACTGTGAAGATCTGTCAGCTCTCTTTATCGGCTTTCCCTAGCAGTTCAAATAAACGATGTTTCACATATTCACTTGCAAACTAGCAAACCAAAATTTTCAGCTTATTAAACAATTGAAGGAATTTGGAGCAAACCAGTTTGGACAGTTTGAAGAATTGTTATTGGTTTTTCGTTTTAGAAAACTCTGTTTCACGATGTGTGGAATTCAAAATTAGAGTTATTATTCTTTTTTTTTTTTTATGATAATTACCTCTTTAATTTTGATGTGTGACTTTATAACCCTAATTTCAATCCAACGTTAACCAAGGACAAACTACCAAGCTGTTAATTCAGGAACTTAAAAAACTGGATGACAAAAGACTGTACAGGCTTATTTGAATGGCCATGAACACATGATAGAAGGGTTATTTACCAAGCGTGAGGTCAAGATAGCCAGATGTTGTCCAATATCCATAAGCGCGCAATAAAGAACGAGGCCAATATCCGGTCATCTTGACTGAGCACAAAAAAACAATATTTCCCCGCGGGACACAGTGGGTAATCCCGAACTGGCAAGTCGTTTCAATCCTGCCCACTCAGGTAACCAATCACAATCCAGGGCTTGATTCTAATTATCTGCTGATTCAGCCTTTAGGATCCGGAGGAAGTCAACAGTCCGGAATTCAGTGAACTTCCTTCAAGAGGGAGGCCTAGGTACCAATTTTCCCATGAATTCAAGAGAGGTAAGAATCAAGAATCACCTAGCCTATTAGGGCTGTGAATGGTGACCATGGAAACCAGGCGTTATCCGCAGGGACAGACGCCTACGATCAGGTCTGTCAACTACCGTTGACAGGAGAGACTTCTGTTTCAGTTTTCTCTGTATTTTGAAAATAAAGGTGTCTGATAAATCAGACGTTTTTTTCTTTTTTCCTACCATTTTTTTAGTTTTTAAATCAAATTCCCGTCTAATTAGCAAAATGTTTTATCTTCAGAGAAAAGCTTCCAGAAGTCGCTTGCCTGCCTCATCCAGAAGTTGTTCAAGTTGAACCCAGTGTCACAGACGAAAGAAACATACCCCAGTTTGTAACGGTTAACCGCTGCAAAGGGGCGTGTGACCTACCCCTCAACACGGAGGCCTGCACACCGATTAAGACACGAATCTTTCTAGATCTGTCGAAGTAACATTTGCTGATGGCACAAGCAAACCCCGGTTCGTTGAAGAGCATTTGGAATGCGCGTGCGAATGTAAAACGACATGTATTTATGAACATCATTTACCAGACGAAAAGACTTGTCGCTCTAATTACATGGAGAAGTATGAGGAAGATGAAAACCAGGATCCTATGACAATATGCGCCTGTGCTCCGCGAGCAGGAAGTCGAAGAGAGAAAATAACGGAGTATTGATAAATTAAAAGCGAGGACGATGTAAACTTTCTCAATCCTATGACAATATTGTCCACTTTTGTAGTTAGAACGTACGTAATTAAGTTGCTCAATGATTCCAGCGAATAATAAAAAGAAATGAAATGGATAATTGCTTCCAATTTTGCTTTAATATCACCCTAACTTGGCGTGCTTGATGATTCGAAATACATGTTGTTGGATGAAAAGTTTAAAGAGTGCGTGACATCGACCAAAAAACAAGTAAATTTGCGTGTTATTAGCCCTAGACCAAGGCCAAAATCGTGGAGCACATCTTTATTGATGTTTAATAAGGGTCTATTTTAATCATTTTAAAATTAGTGTCACATATTGCCACAAGCAGAGTCGCCCCTCGTCCACACTAAGCCACATAAATTTTAAAACGCTGCTTTGTTTCTACGGTTGGGCCTGCCGTCCACACTTATCTGTCACGAAAGCGTAGCCTTTCTAAAACGCTCTTCAAACTGGAAGAATTTGAAAACGCCGGCTTTGCGTTTTAGTGTGGACGGAAAACATTTTGAAAGCGGAGAATTTCGAAAACGATAATCATGTGATTTCCCTTGCAGAGTTCTCCTCAAATACAAATCCAAAATGACCGGTGATTGTTGCGTTTTTAAATTCCTCTGGCGTAGTGTGGACGGAAAACATGTGATGCGTTTTCAGAGTGAAAACGCCGATTTCAAAATTTCTCCGGTGAGCGTGGACGGGGCCTTGAACCACAGTATGTTTCAATTTTTTGTTCTATAGAAATTCTTCTTAATAAAGCTACAATGCCTGATCCACTGCCGACTCGCAGGTACAGGAGTCGTTGTTCCATGTTTTATCAAAATTGCAATCCAAGGATTTAATTGCGCATACACATTGACACAAGTGTCCATCCCATCGCTTGTTTGCCTTCTCATTACATTGGCTTTCACCGTTAACAATACACACGCAGTTGCAAATATCGGCGTCGAAACGTTGCCCGCTTTGACACCTCTTTGGCAAGCACGCGCAATGACAAGCCGTGTGGTTGCTCATTGCCACTTGTTTGGTATTGTGACCTTGCTTTACAGCAATGGTAATTTTCTCTTCTGTCGACAGGGCACAATATACAATCCCTGTGAAGAAATACAAAAAACGCTTTTCAATATTTAAGAAAAGAATCAAACTCTACAAAACTATCCAAAGACTCATAAACTCAGGCTCGTAGACTGGAACAATTATTAGTAAACCTGCGCGTATTTTAGATTTAGAAACGACGTAAGTGTTGTTGGTTCTCCAATTGTTGCCAATGCGCGGAACTAACTTTGCTCCTGAAATGGGTAAATTGTTATTATATTTTTTATTTTTTGGTTCAAAAATACATGGAAAAAATTGTAGATTTTGGACTACTACCCTTCAGAGTGTCCATATCTTGGTTTCCTTCTGACTCTAGTTTCCTGAGTGATAGTTTAGTTTATGGCTCGTGGCTTAAGCTTGAGGCAGTTCGTGGAGAGTCAAACATAGACCCCCTGCATCCGTTGTCTGCTGCAAAATAGAGACACTTAGCACTTAGGTTTTCGTGTTTACCTCGAACAACAAACGGCAGCTTCAAGTACAGTTAAGGTTTTGGTGTTTGACGTTTGGGCCTTCTACCGGTTTAGCTACGAAAACATGACACAATTATTTCACTCGAAGAGAGGACCATATTGAATTTCCGGACAACAGCAGCGTTTAATTTGATTTTCAAAAGACAACAAAAAGTCCTCTTTTAATTTCACTCATTCGCTAAAAATTTCATCTAAAATTATACCAAAAAGACTGGGTTGCATAATTTTTATATTGGTAGGCGGTGTAAACAGAAATTCAGGATAAAAAACGTTCATGTAAATCGCTTGCTTGAAAATCTACTTCTTGGAGTAGAAAGCCCCCGTTGAGAACTCCGAGCCTGGCCGCAGCGTTAGGTCACATGACTTCTATAGCGGTTTGCTGTTTGAGGTTTCCGCTGAAAACCGTGGCATCGAACTGTGCGTTCAGTGGCAACGATGACAAATGTTCAGATTTAGAATTACTAATCACGGTTCACTTACGTGGAGATATAGAACAGCCTCCAGCACAACGATGAAGCTCGACAAAGCTTGGCAAAAAGAACTGCCCCCAGTTTCCAGACTCAGGCACTTGTACAGTGGTCGGGTAAGGCTTGCAATACTTCATCTCCAGACTAAGAACTTCTTTATTTTTCTCTTTACCAAGGGAAATCATTGAATAGACAAAAAAAGTCAAACTTTGCATGTCCAAATTGGCGTGGTTTTCTGTCTCTTACTTAAAGCTCATTTCCGAGTTGCCTATTGCCTCTGGGTCAATTGGTCTTCGTTTCAGTCGCACTTTCATTTTCGTGCAAATCAAACTCCTCTCCATATGAAACGTTTTGCACGAGGACTCGTTTTGAAATAGAGGAAATGGTCTACTATAATGTCCGCCACACCCCTCCCCTTTTCTCGTTTGCGGTTTTCGTCACCTCGTTTCTCTCTTACGGCGTTAACTGTAAATTCTTTACGTTATCTGAGAGACACTGAAATCACTGGGATTTTAGCCAAAATAATCTTTGTTTAATGAACAGTGTTTTGTGAAATATTCTCTCGAAAGGTGTAAAATTACTTCTACTTACTTTGTCTTACAGTGCGGTCATTTTCCTGAGTTCGTTCGCTCTTCTGGTTCCATTTCACGGAAACCATCTTCTTGTCTCTTGGAGTTCCTATCTCGTCATCAGTGCGCTAGTTTAAGAAGAAACTATAATTCAGAGCACAAGAATTGCTCCATTTTCAGCTTAAAGAAATAATAAACTTAACCCTTTTCGCAGTAGCTAGTTAATACAAGCCGGTAATTAGAACGACAAGATTGCAAAACTTCCTCTCAGGACTACATCTCAAAGAACACTGCAACCTCAAATGGAAAATTACATTGATTACACACATCGCCAGTCCAGAAAAACTAACTTTAAAATGACTTTAATAGGATCGTAATTGTTGTAACCACGAAATTGAATGTCCTCACAACTGAAAAAGGACTGAAAAGAAAAGCACAAATTAAACAGTATTAATTCAGTGTATACCGGTGAACACGTAGGTTTATTTTATGTTGATTCTTAAACTTTCACTATGGAAAAATATTTTCTCAGGAATTAAACTCACTCCGTTTAGGCTAACATGTGGGCGGCTTTAAACTTTAGATAGCTTTGAAACCAACAGACATTTGAAAATTGTGTTGAATTGACGTGAAGTAAGTTCTGTTACTGCACCCAACCTTTTCTTTTCAGTCGTCCACCCGCCCCCCCTCCCCCCCGTTAACCCCGAGGGAGGCCTTGCATATTTAACTCCTCCCCCGCTTTCTCAGACGGGAAGCCAAACTAATTTACCACCGAAATTGCTTTTCATTTGTGATAAAAGTATTTGTTTTTGGCGTTTCCTCACTCGTCAGTCAATTTTATTGTAATCTTTGTCAGGTTGTTCGATCGCTAGACAGATACAAAAGTTAATGGTTAAACAATTTCACAGTGATCTGATCTCTCTACTTGTGTGCTTTTGTAAAAGACCGTCTGGTGTCGTAAAACGAATATTTCAGTGACTCTTTCACACGCGCTCTTGTTAAACAGAACACCATGCTAATGAATGAATGAATGAATGAATGAATGAATGAATGAATGAATGAATGAATGAATGAATGAATGAACGAACGAATGAATGAATGTAGAACAATTTCGTTGTTGTTTCAAGTATGAATTTGTAGGTGAATGAGTGAAATTAAAATACATAATAACGATAGACTGATTTCGTCCTCCAATAAATTGCTTCTCAGAGGTAAGAAACAAAACTGCGTTGAAAGAACATTAAAAACTGGTCAGAGAAAGGGAAATATCGAATACATCGAGGGTAGAATTTACAGAAGTAACGAAAATAGTCAGGTCCATTTTATCTCATATTTGGTCATCAAGTTTGTTAAACTCTTCGTATCGCTTTGAAGAAATTCTTTTGAGGGTTTAGGTAAATTCCTCAAGCTTTATTGTTTTTTTATCATAGAGATAACATTTCAACGGCGGATGTATTTCCTCTCTTGTTCCACATATTTCTTTTAGCGCGAACCTTGTTGAGAAGGATTAATTGAAATTTAGGAGTAAAGCGTATTCTCGTGAAGTAGGAACAGAGTGGGATCAAAAATGTATTTTACAAATGTTAAATGAACTTCTTTTTGTTTTCCACTTACCTTCAAGTAATCAAACGAAGTCGCTTTTGGTTTGAGTCTCAAAGGGACCGCCATAGAAAACAAGAAAGCGAAACTACATATAATCGTGACGGCCTTCATTGTTGTGTTTTACCGTGGAAAGGAAGCTGATTGTCCAATATATAAGATTATATGAAAAATGATATGAGGTCATTTTAATTAAGACAAATGGCATCGCGGGGCGATCGTAGAGTTAATTATGTCGAACAATTATGCTAAATATTAAGCATATCTTATGTATAATTTATGTACGCGTTAGGACATCTAGGTTTTTTGTGCCTTCAATTATACCTAAAGATATATGTATAAAGCAAAGGATGTACCATTTGGCGGCAAAATAACTTAGTTAAAAACCTGAACGAACGTCGAACAAACACTGAAAAATGAAAAACCGCACGAAAATTAGCCTCCTGCCTTGTGTTTCAGGCATGCGTTGGTCTCAATTAACCAAGCGAAGGTTTAAATTACTTTAAACGTCATCTGCTCAGCAATTAATAACGACGCTGTTTAATAGCTTTTCTTTGGCAAAAAAAAAACTATTCTGATATATCAAAACTGTAACTAAACTCCTGGGATCGAAAACCACAAAGGAAAAATCATACTGAGTGTACGGGCCGAAAGAAAATAGTAGTTGTAAGTTATTGCACAATGTTTTGGTCAGCTATGTTAGAATTTTGATATATTGGTCCGATGTATTGGAAAAGTATCACAAATTAACATCGACAGTTTTTCTCTATCGGAAGTATAATGTAAATTGCTAAGCAGGTATGTAAAAACTAATGCCGTGTGTTCTCCACCCTTTGAAGGGAATTCTTTACCACAACACTGATATGATGATGGTGATGATGAAACTTCATTTAGGCTTAAACCCTGGCCAAAACATCACAACGTGTCAACGCAACATTGTTGGGCGCAACATGTTGCGTGCGTTTGACCACCCTGTTGCGACATGTTGGGAAAACAACACCCGACATGTTGCAACACGCCGCAACAGGTTAGCCAAACGCGCGCAACATGTTGCGCCCAACAACGCTGCGATATGTTGCGTTGAAATGTTGCGATCGTTTATTCGGGGCTTATTTATGAGGCCCCCCAACTTAAACAGCTAATACGCCGAGCTACGAAAAGAAAAAACTTAGAAGTGTGCTAATCAACTCTAGTGAAACATGCATAGTTCTAGATGTAAAGTTACATTCTCAGTAACTCTATCGAGGTTGTATATACCAGCCAATGCTAGCCAAGAGCGGGATTTTTTAGGAACATTTCCTGAGCTTTAGTTAACCTGTGTTATTTCATAGATCATGTGTCATTTCATTCACGCCTTTTGCCAAAGCTACTTGTTCTAAAAGCATTACCTCTGGACTTAAGTAAAAATTCGAATGTTTTCATTGGCTGCTGGAAAAAAAAATGCGCAGTACGAATACAAATAACACAAACTACGCACAGCGTTCTGCTTCCCGACCGGAGATTAGTTATGGAAGTGACCGCGTCAACTTTGCCCGGCCGAAAGAGCAGAACCTGAATTCAGGACTTGCGCGAAACTGAAACGAGAGTACTGGGAACGAGAATGGAGTCTTAAAATAACGCCGCTGTTTACACTATCGCGGATGCTCTTCAATGGCGTCCAGGCTGTCCTCGCTCCCTAAAAAATTACAGGTTTCTTCTAACTTTACTTATCACATTTTTGAATATTTAAATATTTATATTAGTTGGTCCCATGACTCACGGTCGCCTAGTTGGATCTAGATCATACTCATGACAAACAAATCAAATTCCTGCTAGTAAACTTTTCAGTGAGAGTTAGGGATTTTTCATGTTACCATGGTTACGTCACTTCTCATCCTTTGCTACGATCGAGAAAAAAAATTAAGACACTTTGAACGAAGTGCAAATGGACAATGCACTAGAATGATAATTTATCAATTTTAAACTGATATCATTTAATTGCTCTTTCCTTAATCGTCTTTATGAGATCCTTATTGTAATTTCCCTTTTGTTAATTGAACTCTTTGCCATACTGTGTGAATTTATGATCATGAAAATAAGGCTTAACGTACTGTGTCCTTAAGTCATAGAAGTGATCCTATCAAGTTCCCGGGCTTCACGATGCGTAGTTAAATTTAAAATTTTAGAAATTTCTTTAATCTGAAGCAATACGCGTCATGACACATGACTAGATTCTAAACGTCCTGTTGTGAAACGCCTCCAGTAATCTGTTACTTGACATCGAGGCAGGACATTCCTCATTCTTCATATCAAGCATAAATAAACGCCTGATATGACCCACATAACTTCTTGCAGAAATGTTATTAGCATGAAACGGCTAGTACAGTGCAGTTTTTGTCACTTTTTGGCTAGTTTAGCCCTTTAGAGAGACGACAAATTTTATACGGTTTAGTATTTTCAGCCACATTAAAAAACGTATGTTTGTATTGTATTGTATTAAAAAGTTTTCAACACACAAAATTATATTCTTTTCAAAATATCAGTCCCGGTTTATAAAGAGTGTATCAGAGGCTTAACTACATACAAAACATATGAAGCTGAGAAACACTCGAGAAAAGAGATCAGGCAATGATCAACAGAAAAAGTTGGGCAGATCATAGAGCAGACGGTGGGAAACGAAACTATTTTTTTTATAGGGATAGTCAGACTATATTTCCGTTCATTTCGTCATAAATATCACGATGAACATAATCGGTACAATTGAATTGCATTTCTTAAATAAACCTTGCATCTCAAAACTAGCTGGAGACCTCAAAAGCAAGTTCATTTTGTTGCTCGTTTAATTTTCGTAAAATTTGGAGGAGTTCTACGGTCATACCAGGATCGCCTTTCCATTTGTTATTGATACGAGAAACCTCTTCAAAGGAAGGGCCAAAACAATACGACAAAGTCCGATCGGAAATCGAGCAATTTCAGTTTTTAATGGACAAAATTTTAATTTTGAAATTTTTTGAATTTTATGGAGTGACCTCGGCCATAAGGAGCGCTATGAAGTCTTTGAAATTGAAGACGCAAGATGAAAAGATCAGGGGTTTTCGGTGCGAAAACTGAATGCAGCAACCAAGCCGATTAAATTAGCTTATAAAATTCCCATAGAAAAAATTCTACTAGCCCCCAAAAGAGTCAAGAAAAATGGGTAAAGGACTATGACCTTGAGTGGTGGAGGATTTGAGCTGGAGATCGATTTATTTACTACCAAGGTTGTGTACGCTCAGTACTAAGATAAGGAACTTCCAGTTCAAATTTCTCCACAGACGTAAAGCAACGAATTCCTTTCTATCTAAAATAGGAATTTCAGAGACTGCTCATTGCTATTTGTGCAAAACAGACAAGGAAACATTAATCCATCTTTTCTGAGAATGCCCGGTAACGAAAACCTTCTGGGGAAGGGTTCATCGTTTTTTTGTTTCAGTCCATTTGATACCAGCCTCACACGTTTTGGATATCTATGAATGTTTAGGTTTTAGAGGAGAGAAAGATGATATTTTAGTAAGCCACTGTTTGCTCCTCGCAAGGTATTTTATTTATTGCTGTAAAAATAAGAACATCTCTCCATCTATCAGAATAACTTTAAGTATATTGCAGCCCTGTTTGCATTTTCTAAACTCCCGAGCTGAAGATATAAACAGTTGTCTGAAATAACACCAAAAACAATTTACTATGGGAACTAGTACTCGAGAAAATGATTTTCAAAGCTCAGAGAAATTGTGGAAATGCAGGTAACATTTCACCATCAGTTTCATTTCACCAATACTTTCAAGTGTTTCATAGGAACTTCAAAATTTAATTTCGACATTTGGTGCTCTCAGACTGATTTCTTTTGAGACGATATTTAAAACAGTCGCACAGACGTTTGCAATACAATGTAAATAAACTCTGTACAACGTGTTTGTCCACTAGCTAGTCACTCGAACTTGTGGTGGATTCCCTCTTAATCATTTCACTTTTAAAAGTGTTTTGGAAGTGAATTAGTCGTACGGAAATATAGAAGAGATTATTATATTTAGTACTGAAATTTGATAAAAGCAGGAATACATAAGTTTTATATTGTAAACTTGTACCTACATTATAAAGCTATTCTAAAAAGGATGTTTACAGAATGTCTAGAAGAAGTTGATATTGTTGTTTCTTCGGAACTTGTTCATTGTCAAGTTTCACAAGTAAGAAAAAGCAATACGTAATAAAAAATATGTATATAAATTAGGTGGGAAGTTTATTTAAATCACGAGAAACGATTGGAGGCAATGTGATAGATAAAATGTTTACCGAAAACTGGTCAGGATTTATAAAAAGACAGTTGTGTGTTTTGTCGTTAGCCAGGGCGGATTTTGACAACTTTAAACGTGACCTTCTTCCCATTTAATGTTTGTATAATAATTAAGGGACAGAGGGAGTGTTAACTTAGATTTCCCAAAAAAGGCTCTTTGAAACATGCGACGAAGAATAAGTTGTTCCCGGCAACCATTTGATTTGACGTAATGAACTTGTTTAATTATCTCTCAAATAAAACGCCTATTATGTCAAAATCACTTTACATCCTGTTTATGTGACCGCAAAATACCACTATTTGGAAGACAACATTACTTAATACCAATTGCCAGATATTGCTTGTTAAAAATCTCTGTATCCTTAGTTTGCTGGGCTTTCCTTTCCTTGTCTTTTCGGGCTTAAAAATTTCCATGACATTACCTCTAGTAGACAGTATGGTTTCCACTTAAGTTTGATTGCATAAAACGTGACGGTGGATCACTTTGATTTCTAAGTTACAGTAACAAGCCGAGAGTAAATAGTTTTAATTACTAATAGTTTTCTTAAGTAGTTAAAGTGTTNAATGAATGAATGAATGAATGAATGAATGAATGAATGAATGAACGAACGAATGAATGAATGTAGAACAATTTCGTTGTTGTTTCAAGTATGAATTTGTAGGTGAATGAGTGAAATTAAAATACATAATAACGATAGACTGATTTCGTCCTCCAATAAATTGCTTCTCAGAGGTAAGAAACAAAACTGCGTTGAAAGAACATTAAAAACTGGTCAGAGAAAGGGAAATATCGAATACAT